CTGATCGAAGGTGGTGCGGTGGTATTGTCTTGGTCTGGTAATTCAAGGTCCAAAGCGGGGCCGGGCCCCTTACCGCATTGGGTCAATTACGTGGAAAATGTCAAATCAAGAGAATCGTTTTGGTTATTTTCGTTTCCAGTCCATTGTTCGGGGCTAAGATACAAATTTCTGTCTATTTCCCAAATATATTACCGTCCGAAATTTAAGCGCCAACAGGCTTTACGAGAGGTCATCAGAGTAGCTGGTTTTGGAGGGTGTTGAGGTCACAGCCACAAATTAGGCAAAACAGTAGCGAAAAACAGTGTCCACCAGCTGGCAAATCAAAAATGTGTGTCTCTTTTTGACCTTTTTGCGGACAATTACCTAAAAAAAGAGAGGCACAAAAATTGCCCCATGTAAACAGCTTTTTTCTAGACAATTTTCTTTGCTAACCAAACGTGCAACCGAACAAAAAACAGAAACCAAATTAAATGTCGAAGGTTTTGCACGATTGTCTTCGACCCGCAGTCCGTACAAGTCTGTGTTTTTCTGGCCATTTCAATTGACAAATGTTACTTGTCTGCACCAGACCCCAGACCAGACCCCGCTCGAACCTAGCTCGAACCTAGCACAACCTCGAGACCACAATCCGAGAGACTTCAGCTCCAGCACGAAATCGTTGATGGCCCGGCAGAAGAAAATCTTTTGCCACTTCACATTCCGATTTCAATTCCGAAAATTTGGGTCAAATTGTGTCGCTTGAGCGTCTTGTTAATTATGATAAATTTCGGTGGATTTAGGCCCAGACTGACCCTGGCAGATGTAACTACAAGTACTAGCCGAAAACTGCTCAATTAATTGCTGCATTTACTTTTAGAGTTAACTCTGGCCTTACCTTCGCCGCTTCCTTTCGGGGCTCGTGATTATGATATATCATCAAACAATAAGTTTGCTGGTGATCACTCAACTCGTAGGTGTACAGAAAAGAGTGATAATGTTGCTTGATTTGATGTCTTTCGACTATAGTTAGGTATAATATAGCGCTTAAAAAAACGCTCAGCGCTACGCTGATTTAAGTCTTTTAACCCAAATTCTTTTCTTTGATTTTTCAATTACTAAAAATCCGTTTTAATGTGGTTAACTTATCCAAAAATTTCAAGCCTCTCTTCTTAAATATTTTTTTTATTTTTAGTTTAATTTTTTGTCTTTTATTTGAAAGATACAACTTTCTTCTTATATGTATTTAGAAAATTCTATTAGTAAAGTTAAATTAAATTCTCCGTTTATGTAATCCACTTAGCACCAATCAAGTTATCAATCTGACAGACTCCGCTCTAGACAATTTAGTAATCGACTTAAATACCATTAGGCCGTAATTAGTTGGCTTCCACAAAAAAAAAGCTGTTCCACAGTTTGGATGAATGAAAACCAAAGAAAACTTAATCACCTTTCGAGCATATTTGCACGGATCAGACGGCGAAACATGTTCGGCATTCGATTGACAAATGCGTGGCATCTCAAATCTGGAGCAGCCGCAGTGAGCGACTGTGCTGCGATATATTTTATATAATTTATAGTGTACTCGCAGTAGTGCAAAAAGTTTCCAATTCAAATGGCAAATGACAAATGTTAGGCAGCGGTCGATAAATCGAACTTTCCCTATAATATATGGACGGACTCGCAGTTCGATTCGTTAATTACCACCCATATATAATGTTTGAATCTCCTTAGCAGAAATAAATTCAAACAAATCTGTTTATTTTTGAATTGTTTGCTTCGGCTGCCGAAAGAAGAATGAAGCTTATAGAAAGACGCTAATACAAATGTGAATATATTTATTTTTTTCGTACTTCACTCTGCTTTACTCCCCTAATTTATGGCCTGCCAACACGAAAGGTGTTTGCTCTGCTGTCTCAGATTTAAATAATTTGTATTTTTAATGGCAGGGGTTTTTCAAACAATTTATCGGGGCACAAAGAACAACTGAAAATAGTTCGAAACGAAATCGCACTCTAGTATCTAAGTCTTACCATTCCCATACAAATTTACAAATAAATTTTAAAGAAAAAATCCCCGCGATCATTTTGGGCGTGTATCCAGAAAATCAAAAATTAAATAACATAATAACCTGGAAGACTTGTTTCAGACATCTAAAGAAGTCAATACACTGCTATAAAGTCCTAAAATAAATTCAGCTAATATCAATAAGTTCTTAGCATTAATTAATGCACGAAATAATTGTATATACATATGTTTTTGTATGCACAAGGTGATTATATACGAGTATATACAGATTCAAATCGAAAACAACAAATATTGCATCGTTTTTAGAAAAATACCGCAACATTATTGTATTTAAAAGTTTAATCTATTATTGAAATTCGAATCCCGTTGAGCTCCAGAAATAAAAACAAATACTATTCATAAAAATAAACTAAAATTCAATTTCAATTATTTTCTAATCTGGAGAAAAACATCTGTAAAAACATTCGAAAATCAATTTTGACCTGCTGACCCTAAACCTTTCAAGCCCCCTTTCCAAGATAAGGATACACATACTCTTTGTAAGAGTGTTTAATTTGCAGTCAATAATAAATTAAGATTGCTTTTGATTCAGCTTGAGAACGAGTCGGAGTCTGACGTCACACGAGTTTTAATTAAATAAATGAAGCAGGCGGTCGGCCAGTGAACGCAAAATGTCAAATATCAGATTATCTAATGGAAGATGCCCCTCCTCTCTTGTTTTGCGACTCTGGTAATACTCGTATCTTATGCTAATCGCTGTCCGATGTATCTGCATAATCGAGACTGACGATGCGACGGGTACATTTCCATTTTGATATTGAATAAACTATCAGTTCATAATTGGTTTGTCAAGTTTGAAGAGATCACAGTTCCTGCGACGACAACATATGAGCTACTTTCTAATTTATTTTCAAAAGAACATCGAATCGTAGTTCAACTTTTTTTAAATTTTGGAAAAACGTAGCCACTTGGCGTTTTATTGACTCCCAACCATTTTCAGCGCCACACTCTGTCAAACATTTTGCAGCGATGATTAGAAACCATTAAATCATTAAACACATTAGCAAACACGTAAAAAAAGTGTGAAAAGTTTAATGTAGGCAGACTTTGGTGAGAGGCTAGTCACTATTAGTCATTTTAATAACTTTGATTGTTTAAAAAATGTATTTTAGCAACCCATTAGATTCCAATAAGATATTATAAATGAAACTTTTTTGCATTTATTTTTTGACAGATAGTTATTTTGATATTTATTTAGAATTATGAAATTTTAAAATATTTTGCTGTGACACTTTAACAGTTGTTAAACCATATTGAAAGAAAGTCGACCAATCCCAATACGCCCTCCTAACATTGTTTAGGTACCAGGTATTCAACTAGAAAACAACTCTGCTTGTTTGGGTCTTCGATATATCTCTGTCCATTTATTCCAATGTTGGCGAGTCAACAACAAAATGAAAGTGATCTAGAAAAACCATAAAGGAAGGCAAACAAAGAAACCCGAATGAATAAAACAGATAAGACGCCGATGCATAAACTTGAACTTGAGCTCGGGGCTGAGCTCTTTCGATTGTTGATTTCGTTTCGGGTCTGCATAATTTATATGGAAGCTCGCAAGTCATCCGCACGATTGCAGTGCGGTGATTCTGCTGCTTCTGGGGAATCTGCTCATGCCAAGGCACAGCCCCACCATCGCCAAAGCGATGGCTAACCACAAAAGAAGCGCCACCAAGGGAAGGCCTACCACCCGCCCATCCCCGCGCCACCACCCTCGAATGTGGTTCAACTTTGACTCAGACCCCGTGCCACCAATTGTGATGTTGATGATGGACGACCTTCGCCTTCAACTGCACATTACAAAGCCCAATCCGCCAGATGCTATTATGTTCGGACATTATATCAGCAATTAATTTAATGCACATAAATCTAGCGCTATTTTTTTGATTGTTCGGAGTGTTCTCCTTTATGTCCGCTGTGGTCTAGTCATTGTTCACACGTTCCATTTACATGGCCATTGGCGAGTATTTCCTAGGCAGCATTAAAATGTCAAGTTACCAACACACACAAACAGAATTCGCCACAGACAAGACCCATTCAATCAATGCACCTATATCGAGGTTCGGGCTGAGTTTTGCCAAAATGTAAAAAACCACTGAGCAAAACACAAATCAGAGATCAACAGTTCAGTCACGAAGCCCCCAGAAACGAGCCCCACAGAACCAAGCCCGGCAGACTCCGCGGCGCATGTTTTCCAGCGGAACATTTACATGCCACTGCAACTGTAGTCCGATGCTGTGGAATGCCAATGTGTGGCCAATGTGAATTTGACTTACGGTTATGGAGCATATTTTTCTGTGCCTAATTTCATGATATGATGGAAGTGTTTTCGGTTGGTTATTAGTCAGCAATGCCAGAACGTAATGTATGCGGCTTCAGTGGATATAATTTCCACATCTGAACCAGGAGCAACACAAAATCTGTTATAATGATTATTTTGTTTTATTCGTTACTAACATTTTTATATTTATTAATAACATTTAGGCCAGTACTTCTTTAACCCCCGAGCTAACATCAAATAGTTTATGATATACTTGGTTGTTTATCAACTTAAATGCAATGTTTTAGTGTCGTGTCTTCAATTGTTATGGACTTATGGCCCAGCCACTCGCCGCCTACCAACTGCCAGTGGATACCTCAGTCCGACATCACACGGATTCTCACAGACACGCACTCACACAGGCGCACGCTCACACGAACGACACGGACAGTGTACGTGAGAGGCTCCCCCAAAAGAGCTTTTCGTTGACGCATTTCCTTCGGGCCAAGCCTCACACAGACGGAGAACCAGCCAATAAGAGAGAGGGAGAGAGCAAAGGAGCTTTTGGTCGGGCTGCTGCGCAGACGCCTGGAACCCTCGATCTCGGCTCGCGGCGACTGCGCAGCCACCACAGAAGACAGTCCCACAGTAGCATCGGCCATATAAAAGCTCGCGACGTCTATGCGATATTATTCAGTCTACTGTTGCGGGTTGGTGGAGACATACGAGCCCTCTTGATCCAAAGTTGTTAAGTGCAAACCCAGTGCAAAATGAAATCCATGGTATGTTCGGTCCCAGATTGAGTGTTCTGTTCCAAAGTGTTTCCAACAACAACAAATATTGAGCTTGGAGAGCCCGATCTTAGTTAAAGTGGCTTTTAAATAACATTATTTATGGCGAAACTCAGTCAGTTCGGTGTGGTAATTCGAGTGCATTTGAAATAATTCAGAAAAGTAAACTCGTTTGAGGTTAATTACTCGAATTGAAATGCTTCTTCAAAGCAGATAAAACGAATGTCGAAACTTTTCAAAGGTTCACAAATGACACAGAAGCAAAGAGTTTTGGTCAAACACACATTTTATAGAAATGTACAAATTTATATTCAATTTATTGTCTTTAAGTGGTGATAGGTTGGAAAAATATGTTTTTTTACACATGTACATACATTGTATATAAGAAATTAATATTTCATTAATTTTAAGGATATTAATATAAAAAAAGTAAGATTTAAAAAAAATATATTTTTTGAGTTCTAGAAATATTTGCGCTAAATTCAAGACCACACAACAGATTAATAGTTCAAAACCAAACAAAACTCTTTGAAGAGCCCGAAGAAAGCTGTGACGGGTTTTTGCTGTTCCCACCTGGCACCCCAACCTCGGCTTTATCCATTCCCTTTGTAATTGTGTGTTGTATTGTACTGTTCACGAATTGCGAATCTGATTATTTACTCGCCCCGCCCAGAGTAGATGCAAATATTCCAATCACCTACAACATTGCTCCAATTTCGAGCCTCATACGTATACGCAACATTGCCAATATGCTTAGGCACCTGGGGGACCATTGAACTTGGCTGATTGCCCAGTGAGCATTGCCGCCATTGCGTAACCGTCATATTCCAAATTATGGACTGGCAGTCGGAAGCGGGTGCAGTCACTGCTTGCATAACCAACCCATTTGGCCAACCCAATTGCGGCCAACGCTTTTGATTTTAATTTATTTGTTCGCTTTCCTTTGTCCATTGCAGCTCATTTTCGGCCTTGTGGCCATGTGCGTGCTGGTGGCCAGCGCCAGTGAGGAGGCGCCCAAGAAGGCCGCTGAACCCGCCGAGCCGGCAGAGAAGAAGCAAGAGAAGCGCGGCATTGGCCATGGTCTGGGCTACGGCTACGGACCCTCGTCCGGTGGAGCCATCCTTGGATCGGGTATTGGTGTGGGACCCGGTCCCATCGCCCCTGCTGTCGCCGAATTGCCCACCCAGGTGCACACCAACACCGTGATCAGGACCGTGCAGGTGCCTTACCAGGTGGAGCGTCATGTGCCCTACCCCGTGGAGAAGACCGTAACCTACCCGGTCAAGGTGGCCGTTCCTCAGCCCTACCCCGTCGAGAGGATCGTCCATGTGCCCGTGAAGGAGATCGTCAAGGTGCCCGTCGAGGTGCCCCAGCCCTACCCCGTGGAGAAGGTCATCAGGGTCCCTGTCAAGATCGCCGTCGATCGTCCCTACACAGTCCACGTGGACAAGCCCTACCCCGTCCCCGTCGAGAAGCCCGTACCCTACACCGTCGAGAGGCGTGTCGTCCACAAGGTGCCCGTTCAGGTAGACCGTCCAGTCCCATATAAGGTGACTGTCCCAGTGCCCGTCCATGTTGAGAGCCACGTAAAGCCTGCCGTTGCCGTTACTCACACCGTCGCCGCCCCTGCTCCGGCCTACATTAGTCACGGCATCTCCGGCCTCGGTATCTCTGGACACGGCCTGTCCGGTCACGGTATTGCCTCGTACGGAGGTTCCGGCCATGGTATCGCCTCATACGGCGGTTCCGGCATCGGTATCTCTGGACACGGCCTGTCCGGCCACGGTATTGCCTCGTACGGAAGTTCCGGCCACGGCGGCTACCTCCACAAAAAGTAGATCCAATTGCAACGCTTACGAGGGCCACTGGAGAATCGAAGTCGGGTAAAGGCGAGCGCATCAGCAAGTCGACATTATCAAAACGAAAAATAGGCCAACAACCTGGACCCTGCCACCCAGCCAATTTGCCACCCTCTCCCCCGCCAAGCCACCCTCAACGTACGACTTAAAATTTAGTTTTAGTTTGTGATAACAGCCGAAATTCTTGGAGGATTTTGGGCAGGGGAAGAGTTTTGATAGGCGCCGTCGATGGGTTAATCCAATCTAGAAAGCTTGCCTCGCCCATCTGCGTCGCTCTGCCAATGCCTGTCCCCTCGCCCTCACCCTCCATGTGTACAGTTCTTTTGTAGACAGAGACGGAAAATCAAATAGCAGACGAGTTGCTCCTTCGACTTTTTCATGTAAACTTCCATTCTATGAAATGTTTGTACATATTTAAATAATGTAAATAAAAAGAAAATTTGAAAAAAAAAAAATGTAACAGAATTTATTGGTTCAATTGGTATTGTATTGTATTGGTTCAATAATGTAAGAAAACTGGTGCTCTGATCTGTTGCGTTTTTGTGCTTTAATTAAAATGTATCAAATGCAATTGGACTAGGTGTTCCGGTACGAGCGTATCGAAAATATGTATTATTACATTTATTACTGCTTGAAACAAGATCATTCAAATCATTGGGTAACTGAAACATTTATTTACAATCAATCAGCTATTTGCAATAACAGGAACAACCAAGAGAGCCACTTCCGCCACCACAAAGTCTGAAAATCTGTGGCATCCACAACGTTTGAAGATACGAGAAAACGAAAAACGCAGTATCTTAGATAATGACCATATATACCAGAATTCAGAATATCGAAGAAAGACAATGAGTAGCGCTGCAGCGATGGAATGGGGTGGGAAATTAATTTCATCATGCTGGCTATAATAATGGTCCGTTCTGATCCAGATTCGTCAATTTGGTAGATATGGTAATTTTCTATGATATTGCGCTTTCTCGTATCTTCAAAATTGTGGATGCCGTAGATTTGCATCCTTTGTGAAAGCAATTCCGCCACCACAAAGACACTACAAATTTGGGGCGGGCCAAATTTTATAAACAAACTTTATTTCTGTGTTATATCGCATGAACACAAAATTCGGTTGTTCTAGCTCTTATAGTCTCTCAGAACTAGGCGTCAAACAAGACGGATAGACAGACCCAGTGATGAAAATGACCTTTCGACGCAGACTTGTGTTGCAGGAACACAAGGAATATAAGATAGAAGAATCCTTAATATTAGTCCTTAAAGGACATGCGATGTATCATATTAAAAAGTATTGAATCATAGATCAAGAATATGTTTAAATTTATGGTAATCCGCCACTCGGTTCAAGGATAATCTTTTTTTCTCCTATGCATATTTTTGATTTTTCAAATAAAAGTAAAAAAAAAAACTATTTTTGTAACTCTTAAAATAAAAATAAAAAATAGCTAATTTTTTATTAAACTTAAGTGGTTTTTTTAAATTTTAAATAAATATTTGGAAATAGTTAGCAGCGGATCAGATCATAGTATATACGTATAACAAATCTGATATTTCAATTAATAAATTAACCTATTGGTGGGACGGACGGTGGGTTTTCAGTGAAAACTTTTCACAGAGAACTTCTTTTCGTTTCGATATCCATTTGTTTCTATAAAGCGTTCGATTGTTGTTGGCAGAATTAAAAATGAGCGTCTCAACTTCTACATATATTCGATTCCCAGTCAGTAGGTACATGTGAAAGGCTATGTTCAAATGTGTCTTTATTGAGTTGATATAGTAGCAATGGATACAGTTTAGGTGAATATGTACTTAAATTGTTTGTTTAGATATGTTCAAAGCGAATGACAACTGATGAAAATACGACTGATACCAACAACGACGGACGAAAACGAAGAATGACAACGGAATGGAGAGAGCGCTCTGAGCGGCGTCCGCTGACGATTCTTGATTCTCGTTCTCGCGATCTCCTCTTTGCACTGTCTACTCTCTCTCTCTCTCTTAGGATTGTGTATGCGACCCAGCCTTCTTACACACATATGTATGTATGTCATCCTACGATGACGATTTATATATGTCATTTGTACGTAAAATATATATATATATATATATATATATATTTTTATCCGTAATTATATGTATTGCATGGAATTAATATAATATAGGTTGCAGTCGTAGTTATCCTCTCACAGCGTTCCCGCTCGTTTGAGCACTTTGAATTTTTAACCGAATTAAAAATTTGATTTTTATTAGCCGGGAAAAATCTTCTTCCACATATTTGAAGCTTATTATGGTGCTATGACACTAGACTTTAATAGCTGACTAGCAGAAAAAATAGAGATGGCCTAATGGGAAATTCCTGCAGTCAGAGCGAGAGAAATATATACGTCCAGTTGGCACTCCATTTGAGCTGGGAGAAGCAGAAACTATCGATTGTTGTACTTTTCTTTTTTTTTTAAATTAGATCATCGCAAGGGATGACCGGGCTTTTGATAGCAGCTACGTTGCCGCATTGATTCGATACTGATAGTTGTGCTTTTCAGAAACAAATCTGCTGGCTTGCTGGAAAAAATAATTTTGTCACAAAATGGGCCTCAGTTTTTCGACTTGAACACATTCGACATGTCTAGAACACTAATATTGCATTTTATCTATCATGCTATCTCTCTCTCTCTCTCTCTTGAAATTAAATTTAGCAAGGTCTAATTTCATACACAAATTACTACATTCATCGTAGCTCTGTTTCCAGCCCTGGTAGCCAATAAAACATCGGATAAAACAATCGCAAAAGAAGCTGGCAATCCGATTACTGTTTATCGAGCAACTCTGTCGCTTTTAACGAAACGCTTTCCATTCCGTCAGAAATTCAATTTTATGTTTCTTTAGTTACATTTTTAGTCCGAAATCAATGACGGAAGCTGAAATGGCATTTCAGCGACCGCTGAACGAACGCTCACCTAATTCTCGTCGGAAATTATATCGCTTGCGGCGCAGCTATCGGCTGGCAAACTTGCACGTTGCCCAGGACACGGTACATGTGAATCCATTTACACCAGACAGTGAGTTCCATTGGACAGTCTTCACATATACAATCGTCAAGCATTTATTTCAGGTCTCGTAGCGCACACCGAATCTGAGGGGCCAGAAGATGTCGCCAATTCGATGGGTGAAATGTGCCAGACACAAACACCCAAACGCCTGGCCCTGGACCCGAGTCGCTTACAGTCAGATTTCGCGCAGGTCCGAATGATTGGCTCGGGGGAGTTCGGTGTGGTTTTCCATTGCGTCAATCGGCTCGATGGCTGCGCCTATGCCATCAAAAAGAGTAAAGTGCCAGTGATAGGCAGCGCACACGAGTAAGTTTCCTAAGTAAGTTTGTCACAATCACTGATCCCTGCACTCTGCTCCAGAAAAAGCGTCATGAACGAGGTTTGGGCCCATGCAGTGCTTGGCAAGCACGATAACGTGGTGCGATATTATTCCGCATGGACGGAGGACTATCATTTGGTAATACAGAGCGAGCTCTGCGATGGCGGCAGCCTGCACGCCCGCATCCAGGACCATTGCTTGGGTGAAGCCGAGCTGAAGATTGTCCTCTTGCATGTGATCGAGGGCTTGCGCTATATACACTCAAATGATTTAGCTCACATGGATCTGAAACCTGAGAACATATTCTGCAGCATGAACCCAAACGCTCGTAAACTTGAAGAAGTTCAACCGCAACAAACCGAAGAGGACGATGAGCTGAACAGTGTCTATGGGGGATTGCGCCCTTCGGAGAATCTGGTGACATACAAAATCGGCGATCTGGGACACGTGACGTCCGTGGTGGATCCACGTGTAAAGGAGGGTGATTGCCGCTATTTGGCCAAAGAGATACTCAAAGATAACTACATGAATCTGTTCGCTGCGGATATATTCTCACTGGGCATCACCCTGTTTGAGGTAGCAGGCGGTGGGCCCTTGCCTAAGAATGGCCCATGGTGGCACAACCTGAGAGACGGCGAGGTTCCCCATCTGCCCAAACTAAGCAAGGAATTCAACGAGCTTATAGCCCAGATGATGCATCCAGATCCGGACCAGAGGCCCACATCACAGTCAATATTTACTCATCCGTAAGTTTGGCGTCTTAAGCCATTGAATCATCTCGATTATTATTTTATATATTTGGTAGATTTGTAAGCTCTATTGTCTTCAAGAGCAATCTGAATATCGGCCTGGAGCTGACAATGGAAAAGCGTAAGAGCCAGCTACTAATGAATAAGCTGCGGATTGCAAGGGAACAAATAAAAGTACTCGAAGAAAAAGGTGATTAAAGGTTGCTCCTCCCGTAGACTTTTCATTTCTACCAAATTGTATAGTTGCAGACAAAAGTCGTAACGGACAGACGCAGCCATTACCAGCCAAATCCATATTTGCGAAATGGTTCAAGAAATAGTTAATTTATTAAATACACTGACTAAGACTGCGAATTCCAGCAAAGGATTGCGCTCAAAAAACCTTTAAAAACAATTTCTGATCTTTACGACCAAATATAAGAAGCAAGAGCTCAAAGATGATCTAAATCTAAGCTAAACCAATCAATACAACACTCTTTAATTTGTATGCACACAAACAAATATTAAATGATTCCACTCTTTTGCTGTGCGCGCCTAAGCGAAAGCTGTCCGACAAGCATACGGAGGCTTTATAAGCACAAAGTTTAAAGCACATCCAAGCTTTCATCTGTCTACAGTCGATACCAAGTATCCAAGCTGAATCTTGGATCATTTAAAAAATGATAAAGCCTTAAACTAGGCAACAACTCCCAAATAACATCAAGAAAGCTCGGCTAAAGCAAAATAAAAGTGAAACCATATGGGCATGAATGATGGCTACTTTTACAGAAGCTTTCTTCTTATCCAGGCTCGCGGGTAGAACATGCCTTTAATATCGCAATTTAGTTGAATTTTAATTTCTTTGCGTGCGGACTGCTTATACAGAATAATGTTCAAGTTTCTGTTCATATTTTTGCTAAGCATTTTGGCATTCAAGCTGATCAGGGCTAATCGAGATCCACATTTGTGCACTGTGCCCGTTGAGGTCACCTATACTGAAGAGGTTGACACGCCACTGAGTGAATTTGGAAAATTCGAGGAGGCTTACAGGAAACTGGGTATAAACGGAGGTCGAAAAAATGTGGTAAACTTTTGACGTTCAAAGCATAATGAAACGGCGTTAAATTCAAAAATATTCTCAGAATAAAACAAAGACGGAAATGCGAGAAGTATGTTGTCCTGGATACATAATGTTCCCCAACGGCAATGGAGACTGCGAACGCCTGCTGACAACCAAACCCACAACAACCTCGAGTGCGGACACTGATGAAACTGAGACTTCAACGGACTCCACTTCATGGAGCCCCGCATGGGACGACGAATACTCAACGGAGCAGCATTCCAGTACAACTGCGGAGGAAAACCCAAAGGCAAAACTTGTTAAATTCGATTACCTGAAATATGCCACATATGCTTGTGGCTGTCTCATCATTCTGTTAGTTATATTCTTTGTTTGCCGCAAGCGTACGCAAAAGAAGTATTGCGTGGAGCATGAACATAATCATGTGAAATACGATGCCTGAGCAAAGATGATTCTTATATAGCCTGCTAATCATAATCACATGCATATATGTATGTATAGAATAACCAAACATTTTTAGCATGTAACAATAAACATTGTCCCAAAGAGATAAACAGAATTAAATATACAAGTGAAATACAAATATGTGGTCAAATTACTCATTGATATACATATGTACGACATTTGTAAATTCCAGCTCTTATCAAGAATATTTCAGTCGCAGAATTAGGCATAAGCAGCAGCGATTTCTGGTAGAGATCGCTCCTAAGAGGGTGCACAAATTTCGGAAGAGTTTTTGCAAATATTAATACAACAAAAAAACCTATTTTGGTGGCGGCAAATGTATTTATATATAAATGGACGACAACGATACTGCGTTCAAGACAGTAAGCTATTGGGCCTAACTTATATACGGTGGCGAAGCGGGGTGAATTCGCCAAGAGCGAGAGAGAGAGCTTTATTGCGCTCCCGCTCCGCCTCAATGTATCTTACACTAGACTTCATGGAACCAAACAAACTAAAATTTTGCGGTGCGACGCAACAAATATCACATTAATCCCAAATGAATTAAATATTAATTCCAAATTAATTGAATATTAATTCCAATTCCATTTTCCTTTATTCTTATAGACAGAGCCCTTTTTGTACCTTTTGTTACTTATAATTAGATTTTAAGTTTTTTGAATAAAGTGAGTATCAGAAAACGTACCAATCATCATTTGCGCACGGTAGCATGTGTCATGTGCGACGACAAAACTGTAGCGGTTTATGTACCGTATATAACCCACACACACACATTAACAAGCTTATTTCACAATTGTGAAATTTTCTTAAAAACGCTGATACGTGGCATATTCACAGAGGATTGATAAAGCAGAGGAAGTAGGTTGTGTAAATCTGAATCATATGAGCTTTAGAAGAAAATCTGAATCACATTGTAAGTACACTTCATACATACAGCGTATCTATTAATGGCTGTCGCACTTGTTTAAAGCGATACTACTCATTCTTACGTTTATTGTGAATTGATTCCATGTAATTATTATTTCGACCAGTTGATATTCAAAGCTTTTGAGCTGTAGAAGACAAACTAGCTTTTCTTCAGAACTTGCATTTGCAATCAACAAAAAAATATCGTAATTTTTAGTTCCATAAAAAATGTAGGGAATCGTAGGATTATGTGGTGCACTGTATTCTGCTTGAAATTCTGGGAGGCTAAAGGTATCAGGTAGCAAATATGGAGACATTTGGCAGTTTATGGAAGAAAAATTGTCAAAGAAGCTAAATGTGAGCCGTATGACCATTAAAAGCGTATTCGCAGTCTCATTGGGGGTCAACAAAAAATGCAGCAGGAGGGAAGAATTTGAATCTTCAGTAACACGCAAAATAATATAGACAAGCAGTTATTTATGCTGCAGAGAAACCACAGATCAGAAAATGATAAGTTGTATTCGAAAAGTAAGGCAAAAATTCCAATTAATAAGAAAGAAATTTAGATGTATCAAAATACGATGTTTGTTATGTTATAAAATCCCTAAAGCTACAAGCTCGTATTACACATAGCAAACGGAGGAAGTTTCAAAATTAGAAATTGTAATTAAAAAATATTCTCTAAAATACAAATAAAATGAGTTTTCAAAGTAAACTTCCCGATAGTTTTTAATTTATTTGAAAAGTTAGTAAATATAAGCAAGATATGACTAAAAAACCGTCTCAAGTTAAATGTTATACACTGATAGAACAAGAAGGAACGTGTGAGTCGCTTCTGGGGACTCTCTACTTATACCCGTACTCAGTCAGTATAAACATTTTTGAGCTTATGATTTTTTTAGAATTTTCGAATTAAAAAAAAAAAAATTGTACATATTACACTTTTTTGCTACATCTGTTATCTACATCTACAATGTATATTGTACATCTAACAGGTAGATTATAGATGTACCATTTATAATTATGATCCGATCTGATTCAGATTCGGCAATCTGGCAGATATGGTCATTCTCTACGATACTGCGCTTTCAGTTTTATCGTATTGTGCCTGCCACAGATTTTCACCTTTTGTGGGGGCGGAGCAAACTTTTGAAATACACTTGTAGCAGTGTGATATCACATGAGTCTGGAAACCAAATTTGGTTGCCCCAGCTCTAATAGTCTAATAGATCCAGGCGACAAACAAGACGGTCAGACGGACAGAAGGACAGACGGACAGACGGTCAGACGGACAGACAGGACAGACAGACATGGCTCTATCGACTCGGTTATTCATGCTGATCAAGAATATATATGTTTTATGGGGTTGGAAACGTTTCCTTCTGTGCGTTACACACATCCACTTTTACCACAAATCTAATATACCCCTTAACTCTTTTTTGAGTACGGGTATAAAAATGGCAGAGAAAAAATAGCCACAATCAAAGTTGAATTTGAAATGCGATTTTTAAATACAAGCATAGGAAAATTAAATAGAATTCACTTTGATTCAAATATAAATGTATGAAAATTGCTTTTTTAATACGGTCATATTTATTCTAAACACAAAACACTTAAAAATAACTATAATATATTAAATTTGTAGTTTAATATTGAATATTATTATGACTTGATTTCAAAATTTTTGTTTTAAAATCAAAAGAAAACACTTTTTATTTTGAAGATTCCATATTAAATGAACATAAATATTTTTTGTATTTATTTTAACTATGTTAATATTATTATTTATGTCCCTCGAATTCCCAACTGGTTCAAGCTGTCGCCGCCTTGAATACACATTTAAATTACACTAAATTGAACTTTTTATTTAGGCTGTGAACCAAAAAGACTTTTTCTGATAGATTTCGGGATTTAAAAAGTTTTGTAGTACTTTATTATTTTTTTTATGGTGTCCTTTTTTTAAGAATTTTTAAAATTTTTTTTTTCATGGTTTTTTTTAGAGGTAGTGCTTCTATTTTTCACATAACATAAGTATCTTATATCTGGTTGCATAGAACTTTGCAGTTCTGAAAAGCTGATAAATGCAGCTATAAATCCGACCCAGACTCTTTGTATCTGCAGCTTAACGCCTGAAAGATATTAAGCTTTCAAATTTCTTAATTTTCTGCGGTATTTTGCGGGATTTTTTCCCGAAATTTTGACTTTAAAAACTCGGGAAAAGTCGAAAAAAAATAATTCTTTTTGGTTTTAGAAAGACGCATTAATTAGGCGTCGTTTAAGGTATTGCTCATTAAAATCTATGGATAAACGGACAACTTGGAGCCGTTGCACCCAAAACGACTCAAAACAAATTGTACCTAAAAAATACCGTTGCTGATCCAATGCCAAAGGAACACGTTCAGGTACCAAAAATTCAACCCTTTTTCGTTTGCTTTGTTTCCAATTGGCAGTTGGGCCCGCAACCTTCCAAAAAGTATTTTTGTCTATTTTTTCACTTTTGAGGTTTGGTTAACGAATTTTAGCTCCACCGACGCCTAATTAATGCGTCTATCTAAAACCAAAAAGAATTATTTTTTTTCGACTTTTCCCGAGTTTTTAAAGTAAAAATTTCGGGAAAAAAATCATTTTTGTCAAACGGCTGCAAGTTGACCATCCATAGATTTTAATAAGCAATACCTTAAATGCATCTACCTTAATGCATCTATCTAAAACCAAAAATGTTGGCCAAGAATTATATTTTTTCGACTTTTCCCGAGTTTTTAATGTCCAAATTTCAACAACAAAAATACCGCAAAATATTATGAAATTTGAATTTGAAAGCTTAATGTCTTTCAGGCGTTAAGCTGCAGATACAAAGAGTCTAGGTCGGATTTATAGCTGCATTTATCAGCATTTCAGAACTGTAAAGTTCTATGCAATCAGATATAAGATACTTAAGTTATGTGAAAAATATAAGTCTACCTCTAACAATAAACATTAAAAAAATTCCAGATTTTTAAAAAATTCTTTAAAAATAAACTACAACATAAAATTAACCATAATTCGTTAAAAAAATTTAAACCCCGAAATCTATAAGAAAAAGTTATTTTGGGCCACAGCCTAATTCTAGTGTTGACTAGTGTTACCTTTGCGCAGGGGCATAATCACAACCAATGCAGTTCTACTCATGTTGCGATTATTTCTAGTTGAAAACTTTAACCAATTCACACCATGACGATTTGAAATGAAATCGGCGTAGTCAAAATAATAACAAATTAGTTTAAAAATGAAATATACTCAATATAAATATGAAACATATTAAATTTAAGCATAAAATATTTTAAAATTAAATATGAAACATATTAGGTTTAAATATTAAACATATAAAATTTAATTATGAAGCATATTAAATTTAAATATAAAACATATTAAATTTAAATATGAAATATTTTTATTTTTCATATTTATATCAAAATGTAAGTGAAAAATATTCAATTTTAATACAACCACTCTTGGATGAAAATCAATGGCATAAATATTAAAATTTCAGGGTTTTTTTTTATCTGTGTACGATTGAGATTAGTGGGCATTAAAGTTCTTTATCAGATATTAACGCTGTACTAAAAACTGTACCCCTTTTTTTTTACGGGGTAACTGAATCTGCCGCCAGTCCCAATCGATTCACTTCAATCTCCAATCTCTTCTATGCCACATAATCTTTCAACCACTTAAGACAGAAAAAAAGCAGGCAATCAGGGAAATGATGCAACAGTTAACTCATAAAAGGGGGAGTGCTATCTCTGGTTGCCAGCATCATTTGACGGCTCAATCAATTTCAATGATAAACAGCCCAGAAGGAGCGGACACGCATTTCAAGTTCGTTGCCTGAGTCTTTCGTTTCGGGAGAACCTGCTTGCCCGAATTGACCAACATCAGCAACATTGATCTTGTCCTAACCCGCGAATCTACGCAAGTGCTCCACGCAAATACGATACTCGTATGAGTGTTTAAGTGTGCGGCATGTGGCAATGGAGAATGGCGCGACCTAAAAACCAGCAAAGTGAATGCAACAACAGCAACAAGAAACAACAGGCACAACAGCCGCAGCAGACGCAATCAATTAGCGATATGGTGATGACGTCGGCTTTGCTGTATGTATGAATATATGTATGTACATGTATATGTATATCTGTTATTGTATTTGTTGGCACGTTTCTCTGCTGCCACAACCGC